TCCAGTGGATGGAATGCTCTGCAAGCTGCATACAGAATAGTTTTAGGTTAACTTATATAAAAGTTGATCTGGTAGGAAATCATCTGCAGTAAAATTCCAGCACATTATTTGGGCTTAGGACAACTTCTGCTGCTTTCTAGTGAATTGTGTTATGTGGAATGCAGCTTTAGTGTGTTGCTGTTAAAATGTTGGTTTTATAGCTAATCAAATGTGCAGTGTTCCTTAATGTGTGTTACATCCTGCCCCTTTCTCCTCGGTGCTGCTGAAGCATTGCCATCAGCACCATGTTTGGTCTCTGTGATGTTCCTGTGCACAAATTCATGCTGTAAGTATAATTCCTGTGCCATATATTTCCCTTGACATTCAGAGCTTTGAATGCTTTCCTGGATACATAATTTTGGAAGTGACAGATTTCTCTTAAAATGTAAGATGATGGTCTTAAACTGGCAAAAGTTTTAAATAGTTCCATTGGCCTCTGTTAGGATTGGTGTTTCGACTTAAAACTTTTAGAGTTCTTCAAGTGAGGAGAATATAAACTATTCCAATTTTTTTCCCCAATTATATTGATTTCCATGTGAAAAAGGTCAACTTTTGTATATATTTCATAAACAGATCAATTACTCATTACTTTATAGCCAGGAAAGAACCTATAAATAGCATCCAAGACACTGACAATCAATTGCAAAACTCTTCAGTAATGAATGCAAATATTTGCTATGAAAATGTTGATCTTTGTTACTGGTTGGTTGGGTTTTTTCATTCCTCTTAATAAGTAATGCTTCTATTTTTCTGATTCCTAACTTCATAAAGAAAATCGCTTTGTTAGTCCTAATTCCACCATTTTATAAAAATCCCAGTAACAGTTTCCTGAAAGATAGGATATGTGAGGATGTGTTCCACTTACAAAGCTTTTGGTGCAGCTGAGAATGGAGAAGTCAGAACATTCCCCTGAGCACAACATACACATGGCGTTTTCTTAATTCCATAGGAAAGTAAGAAAATTCTGATTTTATTTCTGCTAAGCAAAAGGAAGTTAAAGAAAAAAAAATCTCTGCAATCTTTGCTCTGTAAGGTGTCAGTTGAAACACGTGGAATCACTTACTCAGACAATCTTAAATTCTCAGAAAACCCCCAAACCAAATTCAATCTTCCCCTAGACACCAGTGCACTGCAGCAGGACACTCTGTCAGGCAAGGAAAGGAGCTGGGACAACTGCTCAGGGCTGCTTTTGTATAAATGTCAGGATGATGTTTGGCTGAGTTGTTCCTGTCTTTTTGCAATGCATGTGCCTTTGTGGCAGTAGGTGGCATTCCCAGTGCTCCAGCACTTCCATGGAACCAGAACATCCTCACACGACGAGCGGCACTGCGCTGCTCGGACACAGATGAACAACAGGAGGACTCAAAAGCCCCGGCTTCCTTTTTAACCTGCGTGTGCATTGAAGTGTCCTGTGTGTTTTTCCGTGAAGTGGGCAACAATTTAGAGGGCTTTTGGTTGATTTTAAGTCTTAAAGCTTCTGTTTGTATGCTGCTGACTCATCACCCAAATTTAACAACCAGTCCAGTGTCACAAAGGAAGTTGGTTCCTGAGTTTCCATCTGCAGCTCATTAGCCCAAACTGTGCATAGGATGGGGCTAAATGAAAACATTTTGAAGTAAGCAGGGCTACTCTTAAGACAGCATTGGTGTTTATTCTGTGTGGCCTTGACCCATGGAATGCAGTTTTTTGAAATGCATTGACTGCAGGTAGTAATGCTTTAGCTCAGAGATGTTTATCATCCAACAGCAGCATCTCCCAAATTACAGTCACTGCTTAGCACTCAGGGGCCACTGGATCCCTCTGCTGCTTCTCCCTGCTGCCAGCTGCAGGAACAGTCTGGAGACCTATACAGGAGAAAAGCTGAGAAATCTGGGTGTGCAAGAGGGAGAGGAGAAAGGATGTGGTGGTCTGAGGGGCTAATGGGACCTTATGGACCCTGAGAGCTGGATGTGTGCCTCTCAGAGAAAAGGGAATACTGGGCTTCCTCAAAGCAGGAAGCAGTCTAGAGACAGGAGCACATTTATGTGACAGTGCCATGTAGCAGGATGTTCTCCAGAGGAGGAGAAGATGGAAACTTCTGAGGAGCTTTTCCCAGGTGAATGCCCTGTCCCCTCACTGAAGCACCGAGTCCAAATCAACTTTGACCTATGGAAGTGACATGGAAGTGGTCCTAGCTCAGACTCCTGCAGAAAGATGTAGCTAACATTCTTGCTACACCCCTCATGCAAAGCAAAAAAAGGAAAATAGAACAGAAAACCTGGAATATGGTGGTTGGGTTAAGAACTGCTACAGAGTGGCAAGTCAATTTTGAGAAGACAGGATGTCATTTTAAGACATAGAAATCATACTTACAGATTATTTGGTAAATTTTTAAAACTTCCCAAGGAAAGTGCTTTTGTGTTTCTCCAGGGAACAATTGCATGCTTTCTAGATTAAGAATTTGGGGTAGAATCTCTTTGAGAAAAGAGTCCCAGGGAACAAGACTTGACTAAATTTTATTCTGAAATCTAGGAAGAGTAGAGATTTCTACCTTGCTTTAGAGACAGCCAATAAAGTCACACAGCAGTTTCAGACTTTACTGTTCAGATATGTTTAATGACATCAAATTTTGGCATATGTCTTGCTGATCTTTAGAATTTCAGTTTGAGTAGTGTATTTAATAGAAAATGGCACAGTATGTTCCCAAAAGTGTCCTAAAGATTATATCTGTTAGTGTCAGTTTTGCAGAGATGTATTAGTTAACTGTACTGCACAGGAGTGAAGAACATTTCTTGTTAATTTAGTGAGGGAGAAAGCTTGATGACACATGCAAATGGCACATCATATATTTTAAGTTCTGTGTATGTCGCCTACACTAACTGCATTTGTCCTTTCAACATCTTTCTTAGCTTGAGCACCACCATTTTTGAATTTTTTGTGACTGTGATATTAATACACCTGTTAAAGAGAAGATTAATTACATAATAGCATTTTTATTAAAGATTAGGTACCCTTTGGGAGGAAAAAAAATTATATATATATATATATATATATGTGGAGTCCTGATGATTTCTGCTCTGAAATTACTGTCTTCCTTTCTTTACCTGGCAGCTGTCAGTGCTCAGGAAGGAGCTGGGCCAACTCATTCCCTGCAGGACAAGTACAAAGTTCTTGGGGTTATGGGAGACACTAATTCTCAAAGTAATTAGCAGCTGTGTCTGTAGATGTGCCAACAATCTCAGTTTGTACAGCTACATGGAGCAGTGCTGAGACACAACCTGAGAGCTGTAACAGTGCTACATGAATGTGGAAATGGGGGCAAGGGCAGTGCTTGGAAGTTCATGTAGACATGAGTTTCTCTTCCATGAGAGTAGAACTGAAGTGCCAGGAGCAGCTGTCCTGTGAAACTCCTCTTTGACATACTACAGATGCCCTCAAAGGACAGAAGGTGGCCCAAGTGTGAAAGAGTAGCAGGAGAATCTGCCCCAGCCCTGTGTGCCAGCATTTAAGGCAGAAGCACATGCAGAAATACTTGGTGTGGCTCCAGCAGTGCTTTGCCCTGGCTCTCTCCAGTCTTCCCCAGGGAGTTGCAGTGTAGGGATGACTTTGCACTGAGGCATCTGGGCAGGGGAGCACAATGCTGCAGTTTGTTGTCTGAGGAAGAGATTTACTGGCAAAGCTGCTGCTCTGGTGGAGCACAGAAAGCCTGTATACAATGTGGGGATTAGCTCTGTTTTATGCTGGAGTAGGTGAGAAATCAATTTTCTAATTTTATTCTTCAACCATGGCAGAAACTGTTCCTCTTTTTAGACACTTCTATTGGCTCTGGAGAGGTGACTCTTCTGAGCTCTAAGAAGGATAATTTTGTACCAGATACAGATCTGCTTCATAATGATAGGTTCAGGAGCAAGACCTTTATCTAAGATCGAGTACCTTCAACTACTTCTCCACCTCCAATTATTATTGTTGCAAAAGATCATGTGGGGTTTCCAATTATCTAATCCCATTTTTAACTACAGTTTTGTAAACAGCAGCACTGGCATAAGTTGTTTTGCAAGGACTGTGCAGCAGCCAGCCCTAGTCCCATCTTCCCTCTGGCTCCTTGACTCTCCAGGAACATTTTACCCTCTGTGCTTTGTAGCCTCTGATGTTCCTGCTAATGCCAGGTGCTCCCTCACACAGCTTTGTGCTTCCTACCTGGCACTAGGCAAAGCAAAGCAGAGCTCCTCAGCCTGATGATGGTTAGCTCTCTCTGGAAAGCTCAAAGAGAGTCTCTGTACCTGGGCACTTGCAGTGGGGAGAGCACAGCTCTGTCTCCAGCTGGCTCTTGATGCTGCCTGCTAAAGCTTAGGCAGTGCCAGCTCACTCTGCAGTTGTTGCCAAGGGCACAGAACAAGTTTCTCACTTCACTCCCTGGGAAGCCAGAGTGGATGTGTACCCTGAGACGTTTTGGAGTCTGGGTTCAGTTCAGCAATGGGTGTCTTTTCCCCAGGGAGCAGTTATTAATACCTTCACAATAAATGATGTTTGTGAACACAGTGCTAGAATGTCCTAATGATGGCAACAAGAGCAGAGCAGGGGACATGTGCTCTGAAGCTGGTAATGGCATCTCCCTTCATGTCCTGCAGCAATGAGATACTTGGATTAATTCTAAATGCATTGGTAACATATGGGTCTAAAATTATTTTGTGCTATTTAGAACAAGTCCTTTGAGCTAAGGCTGTTGTAAATTCTAATTAGTCCATGCTAATCTCCATAATAGGCAGCTATTTCTAATGCAGATCTAACTGATGATGTCTGACAGCATTTTCCACACTTATTTATACACTGGCAGCAAGCTGGCATCATGCTAGGGTCAGAATGTTTGCTCAGGTTAAGAAAACTTTATTTTCTCTACTCTGCAGGGAGTTTGTATTTGCTGCAGGCTCATGCCTGTTCCTGAACACTAATTTATGCCTCTTTGCTTGTATCTATTTGTGCAGAAAATAGGGAAAACTCCTTCAGCCGTTCCCGAAGCTCCAGCGTGTCCAGTATCGACAGGGACTCGAAGGAGGCAATCACAGCTTTGTACTTCATGGAGTCCTTTGCCCGAAAGAACGACTCTGCTGTTTCCTCCTGTCTCTGGGTCGGAACAGGCCTCGGAATGGTCATAATCCTGTCCCTTAATCTGCCTGCTAGTGACGACTTACGGCAGTCAGAGCCAGTCATGGTGTCACCAAGTGGTGAGAGCGCAGCTCTTTTCCTGCTTTTTATCTGTCTTGGTACAATGGGGCAATAACTGCATGATTTTGTATGGCCTTTGGGGCAGAAATGTCTCAAAAAATGAAGCAGTGGTCACTCACTGAGTGGAGGGCACACAGGTAAAGATGTTCATAAGGGACCAACAGCTTCATGGACTGAGATGCTTTGGTTGTGTTAGTTCCAAAGATTGCCTTGTGTAACAGGCAAAGTTACGTGTTTCTTGTGAGGACAGGGAAATTACCAGAGCTCCTTCATATTGTGAAATTACAGTCCTGTTTACAATTCTGTCTGGGATTCTGCAAGCAGTTTGGCTGTCTTAGTATCAGAAAGCTGCAGAGAAGCAGAAGGGAGTTCAGGAAAGGAAACAAAAATGTTGGCAGGTTGCTGTACCAGGAGAGATCCTTGGCTGAGTGAGTGACAGATGGTGTAGCAGAGAGAACAGAGGGCTGAGAGGTCAGGTCTGAGGAGAGGCATCATGTGCTTTAAAAATGGACAAAAAATGGAGAATGCACAGAAGCAGAGGTTTCCCACCCCCAGTTTGTTTTGAAAAACAATGCTGAAAGGTCACCAGACTTAGAGCAAATTTACTGCTGGAGAATACATATTCTACTAGTATAATGTGGAGATAAACAACGGGCCATCTTCAACAGTATGTATTACATCCATCATTCCTGATATCAGCTGCCTGAGAGCTTTCCAGCACTGGCAGGCTGTTTGTTCACCTTGTCATGTGGTCAGAAAGAACTGAGCAAGCATGCCTTGTCACCTTGGCTGGATTAATGTGTGTGCTGTGTTTACAAAAGCTGGGTGTCAGCTGTGCTGTGCTAACAAGCAGGCTGGTGCCAGTGCCAGTGAGAGGAAATTCTGTTCTGCAGGCACCGTGCTGACACTGAAGGGAGCCGTGCTGACCTTCGCGTGCTTGGACTGCATGGGGACATTGACAAATCAGCCCTATGAAGTATGGAGGGATCCACACAGTGCTGATGATGGTGACAAAACAAGGAAAAGGAAACTTGTCATGCATTCCCCTTCCTCCTCCCAGGATATGGGTGATCATCAATTTGCAGTCATTTGTTCAGAAAAACAAGCCAAAGTCTTCTCATTGCCTTCCCAAACATGTCTTTATGTCCACAACATCACCGAAACGTCCTTTTTATTGCGAGCAGATGTGGTCACCCTCTGTAACAGCGTCTGTCTGGCGTGCTTTTGTGCTAATGGGCACATCATGACTCTGAGGTACTTATCTAACTAATCTTGTGGCAAAACTAAGCAAAGAGGAGGCACAGGGCTGTTATACTCCACTTGTGTTTGCCCCAGAGTGCCTGGTGCTCTGCATTAACTCCCTGGTGGGTGCGTTTAATTCCCTGCCTTGATGCAGCCATACCTGATCCTTGGGCTGTCTCCACATGGGGAGTTAAGGCAGGCAGGTGCACAGTAAAGCAAGCTCCTGCTTTTTTCTAGTAATCCCCTACCTGTGACAGTAGATGGTTGGTGTTTTTTAACTATGATAAAAGAAAGCCTTGATAATTTTGCCCAGCTGTGGTGGGTCAGGTATAGAGAAGTACAGAACTCAGCCATAGAAAGGGTTTTGTTTATCCTTTGTGAAGTACCACTCTTGGCACTTCTGAAACTTTTCTGTTCAGAGCACTTGGTTCCCCTTTCTTATCCCCTCCCCCTGGGAGCTGACTGTGCAGTAGCCCTGTAGTTGTACTTTCACCTTGCTGCTCCCTGTTTCCCTGGCCAGGCCATTTAAATTTGGGAAAGTCCTTTCCAAAACAGCAAACCACGGGAAGCTGGAGGGACAGCAAAGGCGATGCTGGAGCCTCTGTCCACAGGGTGGAAGCAGGGCCCTGCCAGACCCTTTCCTACAGATGTCCCTGCAGGCCTTGCCCTGCAAACAACCCAGCCCTGTGGCACAAGCCATACCGTGCCACATGCACATCCCATATCCAGACAGTAGCAGAAGCCTTAGGGCCATGGAGGCAAGGCAGCTGAAATCCTCCATGCAAGCAAACAAAATATGATGGGAATACAGCATTTTTATGGCAGAATTTTTCAGCTTAGAGCTGTTAACTGTTAGTTAACAGTTAGTTAATTTTTCAGCATAGAGCTGAATTTATACTTTAACTGTTGCAGTTATGGAGAGCATAAAGTGAAGTGTTGCTTTAAAATGCAGGCACAGAGGAGGTGTACCATGTGTGGCAGCTGGTGACTAACCTGGGAATCTGCTTCTCCTCAGCTTGCCCAGCCTTCGCCCACTGCTGGACATCAACTATTTGCCTGTCACAGACATGAGGATAGCACGGACCTTTTGTTTCACTAACGAAGGGCAGGCTTTGTACCTGAGCTCTCCCACCGAGATCCAGCGCCTGACCTACAGCCAGGAGATGTGTGACAACCTGCAGGTAGGGCTCACACCTCACTCTGTGACTGTGTGTGGGAGGGATGGTGGCCTCACTCATCAGGGGTAAATTGGCCCTGATAAGGACAATGCTGCAGGGGCAGGACAGATCTGTTCCTCTCCACTTGCCCTGAGTGAATGATGCCAAAGCAACAGAGGGAGGTCAGCAGCTCTGTTGTTCCTTGGGCTTTTTCATGCACTCTCACCTGCACCTGTGCAAAAAGTCTTTACAATGATAGAGATGGGCTGGTTTGGTTTGGTTATTTTACAATGAAAATGCAAATAAGAATGTCATTTACTGAAGAGAAGGAATTGTGAGAGGTTACAGGGAGAAACATGAGTAATAAAAGGGAAAAAAAAAAAAAAGAAGAGCAGGAATAAGTTCTGGGTTATATAATTAGCAGTGAACCAGAATGGAAGTATAAAAGAAATGGTCCTGCCAGCACTCATTATGGCCTAGGGAATAACATGTGCTGAGCTGCTCAACTCACATCACAGCACTGTCTGTCTCAAGTCTGAAAAGGCACTTTGAGGAGCAAGCATTGCACACCAGCTTTTGTCCACCAGAGAGGACATTATTTTGCAAGGAGCCAATTTTAAAATAATGTAAAGGTTTGACTGGTATATCTTAGACTATGGATCTACAGCAAGAGGCTGTTACAAGCTAAATTGTTTTTTTAACCAGCCTTAACAGCACCATCCAACTACCAAGCAAAGGGAAACAGCCCTTACTTCTCTGTACTGCTGGACTGTGGCTGCTTTTATCTTGGCTTTTAGGCAAAAAAAGGTTTGCATGATCATTATGTGTGTACAGAAAGCAGGTAACCCAGTATCACCTGCTACCTGAGCAAACAAAGCTGGGCTGCATGAGAGCTCCACTTGGGCTCCAAGGGCTGCAGTAATTTTTCTCCCCAGAGTAGGTGCCTGTGCAGAGGAGCAGTGGCTGTGAGTCACTGCGCTGTCCTCGCACTCAGCCCCCAGCAGCAAGCACTGTGTGCAGCACAGCAGCTGGATCTGCCTGCTGAGCAAACACAGAGCTGAGCAACAGGGCAGAAACTGTTCCCAGTGCACACAAGCCCCCTGGTTTCAAACACTAATGGGACTGCACACTTTTCCCATCAGTTTTTTTCCAGAGAGCTGGCTTTTCCCAATACTGCTGCAAATAAATCTGAGCCTGACATTTGTTTGGAGTGACCGTTCCAAGATGTGGCACCAGAGTAGTGCCTTCAGCAGATGGTCTTATTTAGCTATGCTGATGGCACAGTAATGGGGTGCAGGAAGGTTGTAGGAAGGTAATGAATTTTGTTTAAAAAGAAAAAAATCAACCACAAGACAAACTACCAAACTCTGAATTGCTGGCAAGTGTTGAACTCAGGTGTGCTATAAAAAGAAAGCAGAGTGACTGGCCAGCCTGGCTGGACAATCACTAAAGCAAAATACATAATACACAACAAATTGTTTATTCAATTATAGTGTCACCTCTGCTGTTTGTAAGCAAAATGTGACCTTATCACTGGTATTTTCATTCTGTATTAACAGCAGGTTTTTTTCTCTGGTAACAAACATGTAGTGACAAACTAAGTCCCTTTGAAAGAATGAGTGAGTCTAGTTAGCCCAAACATTTGTCAGAATACACAAATATTACCTACACCATGCTGTTCACACAACAGACTCTTAAAACTAGTTTATTTGACCCAGTGTATGTGGCTTGTTAATGAAAATCAAGAAAACACCTAGAATCACTTTCACCTCATTAACCTTTTACATGGACTTTTTTCTGGCTTTACTAGGACATGCTTGGGGATTTGTTTACTCCTGTGGAAACACCAGAAGCCCAAAACAGAGGCTTCCTCAAAGGACTTTTTGGAGGAAGCGGACAAGCTTTTGACAGGGAGGAGCTTTGTGAGTAATTCATTGCTTGGGGGGTTTTGGGCAGAAATTCATTCTTGAGATCCCCTGCCCTTGTCATCTAGGAATGGAGCAATACACAAGACTTAGATGGCTGATGAAAAGAGAAAGTTGACCTAGTGGAGGAAGGAGAGGCTCCTTGTCTGCCATTCCATAACTCCTTCACCTTGGCAGCTTCTTTTGATCAGTTGAGTGGGGGGCACAGGACAGTGCTGCAGATGTGGTGGTGGCAGAGCAAAGCCTTCCAGATGTGCCACCTGCCCCTCCAGTGACGTCACTGCTGCAAGGTGGCAGCTCAAGCCTGGGGAGCACTGACAGAGCCAGGCCAGGAGCTCATCCCTGTCTGTCTGTCTGTCCATTTCTCCTTTGCAGTTGGCGAGGCCACAGCAGGAAAAGCCTCTCGCAGCCTGGCGCAGCACATCCCTGGATCCGGCGGGATCGAAGGCGTGAGAGGAGCCGCAGGTGGGGTCATTGGGGACCTGACTCGTGCGCGCATTGCCCTGGACGAGAGGGGACAGAAGCTGGGCGAGCTGGATGAAAGGACTGCCAGCATGATGGCCAGCGCAGAGGCGTTTTCCAAACATGCACATGAGGTAGGAACTCTGGCACCCATACCCTGCAACTGGCAGCTGCCAACCCTGCGACCCAGCCTGTGCTTCCCTTTGGGAAAGCCAAGTGCCCTTCTCTCCCTCCACCCAATCATGGTGTTGGAGGTGTGCTCGTGTCAGCTGGCACGGCATTGTTCCTGCTCCCAAACTATCAGAATGCCAAAAATAAACACACCCCTTCCTTTCATGTTTCCAGAAATGAGCATCCATTGTTAGCCCCTGAATTTTGAACATGGCACTTCTCATCTTGCCTTTCTCACTGATTCGTTATGGTTTGTTTTTTTAAGCCACTTAATGCAGCACAACCATGCGTAGGGCAGAAAACAGGTAGGTGGATGAGTGTATAGGAACCTTTACAGATCTTACTGGGAAGAGGAGAACATTACTAGTACAGCCCTGTGGTACTGTTATGTAGAATAGGCCTTGCCAGGAATAGGAATAACTTCTGTGCTTGGAGCTGGAAATGGAAAGCTTTTCCATCCCACGCTGTTAAACTGGGAAACTTTTCCCACACTGGGAAAACTAAAATTATTTTTCTTGAAGATAAAACAACATCAAAGCATACTTCCCAAAATGCACATTTTTTATTTAATGTGCATCACATCTCTGGACAAAACCTTTACATTTTTATTGGCTTTTGTTAGTGTGAGGCAGAAAGAATGTGCCCTGGATTGCAAGAAGTTTATATAGTCAGGGCATATCTACTATGCCCTACTAGAGAAGTGTCTTTTTATTCCTATAGAAAGCAAGTTCCTTTAATTTTTGAAGAAGAAAAGTAGTTAAAGTTCCTCAGGGAAAATCTTCTAAAATCAGCAATAGCGGGTAACGCTTTTTAAACATAATAACTATGAAATTGAATATGAGATCTCAATGGACTCAAGACCTGCTGACATTGTTAGTGAAGTACTGCATTGTTCTGCATTTATTAATTCTGAAGTTTGACGGTTAATGGGCCTAGGTCATGTATGGTCTCTCATATGCAGGGCAGTGTTTGATTGCCATTTGTTTGGTTTTTTTCCCATCTCTGTAGGTGATGCTCAAATACAAGGACAAAAAGTGGTACCAGTTTTAGACTTTCAAAGAAGCTGCTTGTGGCTTTACTAAGAACACTGTTCAGGGAAGCGACCTTTATTCCCAGATCTACCAGTCACTGGCCAGAGACAGTTTTTTTCTCCTAGAAGATGTTTTCCTGTTACTGTTATTGGATTCATCACAGTGGATATCAAGGAGAAGATTTACAGACCGTGGGATAGAAGCTGGAATCATGAGGGTCTTTCCAACAGCTGACTCTTGGGGTGGCCGACTTTTTTCCAAAAGGAACTCAACCATCACTGTGGCATGTAGTTTTGCAGAAGCTGTAGGTATGAACTGTGGGGAGTGCGTCTGGTTAAAAATATTCTGTACAAACTCGAATGTTAATGCACTTATAAAACTTTGCATGACTAATTGCCAACTTAAAAAAAAAAAAAAGGAAAAGGAAGCATGTTGTGACCGAAGAAAAATGGGATTTATTTCTATTCTGAGNGGAGTTTATCCATGAAAGTTAGAGCATTGAATTGCTGAGACAAAGTTTAGCTGGATTTGAAAGAAATTTGAAGTTACATAAAAAGGGCAGGGAAATAAAATAAGCTGTAGAAAGTTTATATCCTTTCTCCTAAAAAAAAAAAAAAAAAGCATGCACCAAAAAAAAAAAAAAAAAAAAAAAAAAAAAAAAAAAAAAAAAAAAAAAAAAAAAAAAAAAAAAAAAAAAAAAAAACCACAAAAAAAAACCAAAACAAGAAAAAAAAAACACCTTAAATGACAAAAATCTTTATTTTTTAAAAGTTATATTATAAAAAGCCAGGACATTTCAAGCATGTTTGCTACTGTTCTCCACATAAAAATGAGTTGAGCTGCATTTTTTTATCTGCTATTTATTTCCCTTGAAAAGCCTTGCTCAAGGCAGTGTTCTTTAACTCCTACCAGAAAATAAAAAAAAAAAATTAAAATCCTATCCCCAAAAATCTAACGATTTTGCAGGTAGCTAGACAGGCACTATCTAAAAAGATGATTATGACATGTGCATAGATGGTTTACTTGCAATTCAGAGCACATGAAACATCATCCTAACCTACACTTTTTAAAATGTGCTCTAGATCTATCTGTTGTCCCTGAAGGGGGGCCATGGCACTTTTCATCCCCGTGGAGTCTGTATCACTTGGTTGCCTTATTTCCCAGTAACAGGAATAGAAAACCAGCTTTGGAAAGCATTTCTTCAAGTTAGGAAAGGCAAGATGGGAAACCACAGTCCCATCAAACACTGCTCACAGAGGCTGCAGAGAAGCTTACAGAGCAGCTTAAATGCTCAGCTGAAATTATGAGAGGGGGCCTGCACAGAAACCCCCCCAAAACCTTTGAGAGAAAGAGAGATTAGAGCAGAAATACTATACAGTGGGCCAGGGAGGAGCATGGAAAATCATTGTCATCACATATAGGAACACAAATGTAAAGTGACACCATGGGTGAGTGGCAATTTATACTCTGCTCACACTGCTAAAGGTTCTGCTTCAGAGTGGCTTGTTTGGTTTTTGCAGTGAATGCTGCAGAAAACTCTGCAACCCACAGCCAGAGAAGAGAACAGTAAGCTGGATTTATTGCCTATCCTGCTCCACCCTATCCTACAAGACTCACTGCCAAACATGCTAACTCTTAGGTTAGAAATTTTTCCAAGATTGGCTTGGAAACAAGGCACTGAAGGCTTGTTTTCATGTATCTGGACAGTTTCAAATTAGAAAAAAGAAATTGAGGAAAAGCTCGAAAAACAGCCTTTAAATTTTTTTCTTTTGAAGAAATGTAACATCTTCTGTCTCTTCAAGGAATCCTGATGGACACTGATGGAGACAGGCACCATCCCACTCCCACCTAGACCTTAACTTTACTGGTGTTTGTATCATCACAGTGTTCAGATGATCCCTCTCAAAGACATCTTTTCCTTCTCCTTCCTTTACCTACAATAAAATATAGCCCAGGAAGTTGTACCATCCACAAGTCTGGCCTCACAATTGGCCCTCTGCACAAGTAAAAGGGTTGGAAGAGATTTGAGGTGTTAAGTTTTAAATTCCCATTGTAGAAGAACAGAATTGCATGATTTACAGGATTTTTACATTTTGCTGCAACCAAAATCAAAATGATGGCCCTGACAGGTTTAGCTTAACTTGGAATGAGACACCACAATTTTGGAACAGGAGAAACTGCTCTATGGTGTCAGAACTGTAGAAACTTACAGGGGGAAAAGGTCAAAGCCTGAGCAGTGCCTGGTCTTCTGCTGAGAGCTAAGGAATTGGAGTTGTCCAGGACCCAAGAGGATTTCTCTGTGCGTATGTGGGTAAGGATAAGCCAAATTTGCCAATCTGATGCCAATAGGAACTGGGTTGGAGAATTCCTTCCAGAGCTGGGTCACAGAAGTAGTCACTTGTGCCTGTGAGGAAGCACTGGTCTAACCAGGCATTGAGGATGAGAAATAAAGGAGAACATTATAGCAATTTGATCTTCAGTTCAACCTGTATTCACTGGGCCTGTGCTCTGGCCTGTAATCCAAATCTGCTGGTCTCTGGCCAACAAAATCATCTGGGGCAGCATTCAAAATGTCCAGCAGCCAGCTTATTTTCCATTCTGCCCTGGTGTGTGGCAGTCAGAAGCAGCCCCAGCGGCTGATTGGAATCATGGGCTCTTTGAAGAAAATTTAAGAGCAACTTCTGACTGCCGATCACTGCAGCTCACCCAGACAGAAAAATGTCCTCAACAAGTCTTTTATACAAGGCCCAGCTGACTCTGGCTGCCAAGAGTCTCTAACACCAGGGTGAAAAAAAAACCTGCCACTAGATTTCCATTTGCATTTTTATGCAACAGAGAAATGAGAATTTAGCAGCCCTCAAATTTACAATTTTTAATACTAAACTTTAAAGCAACTTTTCTTTAGTACTCCCCATCAGGTCACAGCTTTCCACTCTTACATATTTTACATATTTCCAGACAGTTACCAATTACCATTTCTGTTAAGTTCACCACTTGTGACTATAATTATCAATTTTCTTGTAGTCTGTAGAGATCTAAAAAGTTGTATATGTTTGTATATAGAACATTCTATATATATAATATATATATGTAATGTATATGTTGTATAAGTTTGTTAGTGCACACTGTTAAATGCTTTCTATCAAGATTTGCCATGTATGTGGAAAAAACCCATCACTTAAAAAGTTCAGTGAGGGAGGAAAAACTCTTGCCTGGGTGATTTATTGTGAAATGAGGGGGAGTGTGGGATTTTTGCAAGGCTTGCCCTGAATGCTGCTCAAGGCTGTCAGTGACAGGCATGAAGCTGCAGCATTCCCAGCGAGGAGCACAGCATCTGACTCTGAGAAAGACTGGAGGACTGGGACTGGCTGGAGGAAAATCAAGGACATTGGCTGTCACTGGATGTTGAAATCTTTCTGTGCTTTCACCTTTCCCCACTCAGACAGCACCACCTCAAGCAAAATCCCAAGCTTCGATGTCTCTTCAGCCTCGCAATCCTCAGCTACACCAGGCCAGATTGGCTGGAAGTATTGGTTCTGTTTAAAATGCTCTTTGTTCATTTGGGTACTTTGTTCTCTCACGTTCTTCTCTCCAGAAGCTCTGTCACAATCACATTCAAAACCAGTTACACAGAACTTCCAACAGCACACACACCTTTGGGTTTGACTAGATGTTTGTAATCTTATGTCTAGTGCTGTAGATAGACAGGAAAAAATGCATTAAATTAGATTATTTATAAGTCTGCAGAGTTGGCAAGTCTTCAATGAAGTACAAGCTACTTTATTTATTAATAAAAAAATTAAATCCATTCCTAGAGCTTTAACTTCAGTTGCAAACCTTGAATTAAAAGACATGACAATTGAAATTTTGAGAATCAGGTTTTGTTTTCTATAATTACCTGGGGGGGGAGGGGGTTTAAGTTTTTTTACAGTTCTGTAGTTCAACTATCTACATCAATTAGTCATTCCCCATAGTACCAGCTAGGATTGTTACAAAAATGTGTAACAAAAATACTCTATTTACTACATGTATTGTATAAAATTATCACATAAACCCTCCTCTAAGTCAGTTTATATTCCTTTTCCAGAATCCCTTTCACACCACACTGCATGCATAGAATGTGCCCACTGCAATTCAGGTGGGCATAGAAAGCATCTCTTTTTTTCAACAGAAATCATTTCAGAGCTGCTTCCATCCTCAGACCTCCTTCATATATAAACTGTGTGTGTTGCAGCACAGGCAAAGCCCCAGTTTTTGGTTAATTATGCCCCTCAAATAGCCTGGGCCCTGCCCCATCCATCCTTTCCCATAGCCCAAAGGTGAATTCAAGCACAGCATAGTTCAGTCTTGAATGGTTTCTTGCCTTGGAAGGCTCTGGTAAGAGCAAACTCTCTCATGAAGGAACTGCCTGTGGACATCCATAGTCAACTCTTCCTCTTAGGTGTATAAGCAATAGTCACGTAAAAGAGTGTTTCCATCCATGTGTTTTGTTTTGTGATTAAATCAACAAATCAAACATTGTACTTTTTTAAATAGCAACAAATATTCAGATTCAGTGTCAAGGAAATGTGGGCTGAGTGTGTGTGTGGTTTGTTGATGAGTCATTACCTGTCTCTCAGAACAAAGGCTGGTCTGGGGTGAACCACACACTCCTGTGCTAACCATGTCCTGTTTCCACAGGTCTCCTAAATCAGTATCACAAAGCTAAGGCATCTTAAAGTGAGGCTGTCTCCAGCCCCCATTAACAACCAAAAAAACTTAAAAAAAATAAAAACACAGAGGGAAAGAAAATAAAGGAAAGAATTGATACTAGATGGTGTAATCTCTTTTTTTCCAACTTTTATTCCTACATTCTTTATAGTATTCCAAAGGTGCATGGTTTGTGTAAAGTCTTTGGAGTTTACCTTCCTCATTCAGGGATACAAAAATTGCAGCTGTAGTTGTTGCTGGGGTGGGGATGGTCACCTCCCTTCCTCCAGCAGCTCCTGCCAGGACAGAACCTATGCCCAGCTGATGTTCCCATGCTCCATGCCAGGGAGCTCACATGGGGCTCCTAACTGCCGTACCAGCCCCAGGAATGTCACCAGCCTTGGACCAGGGCTACCAGCCAGCCAAGAGCCCTTCCTGTCACTCCCACTTCAGGATGAACGCTCAGCTCCCACGGGCTGAGCTCTGGGAAGGGCAGGAATGAGCTCTGGGTGAGGTGAGGGCTCTTCCCAGCAGCACATCTGAACTGCTGTGCCAGGAAAAGCTCCAAATGTCAGACCAAAGGTGCTGAGCTCCCCTCTCCCTCTTGTCAGCTATGTACAACTCTCTCCATGAAATGCAAGCAGCATGGGAGAAAAGCAAAAGGACCAAAGCAGATCAGATTGCCAGCACCATTATTTATTAGCTGCCTGTCACTGCTTCCAGGAGCCAGGGAGAAAAGAAAAGCTGCAGTAGAAAACCAAGGCGGAACAAGCTTGTGGTCT